CAAAGCGAAGTACAGTGGAAGTTAATCCTCCAGCAGAGTTTCTAAGCTGAGAAGGAGTTCGACACTTCCGGCTCTCCGGATGCCCAGCTAAGAGTAGGCTATGCCAGAGCTATCACCGTCCGGCTGTTTTACTCCCTAGGTGATTTCCTAATCTATAGAGGTCAGCGCCTGCCCGTGGTGAAAGCCTGGCACGCCCTGGCAAGAGTGCTAAGAAAAGCCTATTGCTTGTACAGCATGTAAAAAGGAACAAAGCCTGCACACTGGATCACATCTAAGGCATCGGATGTCATCAAGACCAGTGTCAGGTGCAAAAGGCGCCATGGATTTTGGACCAATAGGACAAGTCAACGACTCGCCATGGAAATTGTTTCATGCTCTGCACCTTCAACGCCAGGATAGTCTCCACCAACGCAGATCTTCATGCCCTTCTCGAAATTGCGGGGCACATCAACTACCACCGATCAACAGGAAACAAAGTCAAGGATGACGGACATGAGACAGCTGAGTAATGGCACACTCATTATTCGTGGTTAGAATGTTCCATCACAAAACGTCACAGGCGTTGAATTTGTCGCCAGCCATTCCATATTGTCAAATCACACGAGATCCTACCACCTTGTCTAGCTAGTCTTCGACTCCGCCCTCTGTATCAGAAAATCATATCTTCATCATCAACTGCTATTCTCCAACAATAGCGGCTGATTGGAACTACTTACTTTCTATGAGGATTTGGAGAAGTCATCGGCAAAGCAAATTCCTTTTCCAATTCCTCTCGGGTGACTTCACTGCAAATATCGGGATGCCAGGAGAAGGGGACGATAGGATCAGGAGATTCGGGTAAGAATCTAGAAATGACAATGATAACCGTCTTATTAGGATTTTATCCGCCGCACGACTATTTGGCAACTCTTTTTGAAGAAAGCACACCGGCATTGGCATGGGAGTCATTCAACGGAAGGACTCCTGTAAAAATCGACCACATTTTCACCAACCGAGGGTGGTGCTCACTGGACGTGTCACCGGTGCCATCCTTCAGCAGTCGTTCGGATCACCATTTTCTCCGAGCAAAAGTGCGATTCGAAAACTGGAGAAAAGATCGGTCACCATATTGGAGGAAGGAGAGAAGTCGTACATGACGGCGTAAGATTAAAGGGACTCGTGATCGCTTGACTGGCCCGAAAAGGACCCGACGACCTGCTTAAGAGGACTGAGAGTCTGTGGTTTAAGTGCCTCAATGGCTAAACAAGACAACCAAGGATGTGCTTGAGAGATAGAGAGCACTACGGCTAGATCTTGCATCACATCTAGAGCGACTGGTAGCCAATACCAGTTGCAGAAAAGGCTTCGATAGCGCAGGCAATCGAAACTTCTGGAAGCAACACAAGGAAGAAGTCGGTTGACATTATTAAAGCGAAGACGAGACTCGCACATCTTCTCGACAAAAGATGGAGTCGATCACGAAGAGAATCTATACCAATCTCTTCCGCTTGTCAAACCCGTGTCAAACCCCGTCCCATAATAATACCACCGCGGATTTTGCTGAAGCACGCACCGCAATCCAGAGCGTAAAAGCAGCCACAGCTGCCGGACCGGACAACGTTTCGGCGGATCTTTACGAGCTTAATAATTTCGCCTAAACTAGATATTTGCGGGAACATCTGATGTCTTATCAAGAGGAAAGGGTTCCCGACCAGGAAAACCACCCGACAATCCTTTAGGTTAGTCTCGCTCGCACATCAAGGACACTGAACGACGCCCAACTTGTAGGACAAGCTGGATTTTGCAAGAATTTAACAGCTTAGATTAAATGAGACGATTTCAAGGGTTATCGAGATTTGCCAAAAATACCGCCTACCTCCCGCCTAATCTTCGCCCTCTATGAGAAAGCGTTTGATAGCGTCGAGAGTAATACTGTCAGCGTTTTCTAGTGATACTGTCAGCGACCCGTTGACCAGGGGGTGGACCCAACTCACGAGAAGACACTGACCAACTGCTACAAAAACTGCTCTACGGTACCGCCTTTTCATCGCCCAATAGCAATCAAAGGGGATTCGACAAGGCGACTAATGAAATCATTGGATGGGACCGAGAGAGATATATGAGTTGATAGGAGATTCCTCTTCTTGTATTGCGGACGACATTTTTATCTTCCCGAGGAATATCACTAAAGCGGAGACGATGTTGAAAGAAGTGAACGACAGGAGAAAGACTCAGTTCATGAAACGCTTTCTGGGAATAGAATTATGAAGATTCTCAATCGTGGAGACATCTTCTTACGTATATCTCGAGCGTTCGATGTACATGGAGAACGAGAAGTACTTCACAAGAAGTTAATAGGAGGTGAACAGCAGCTTCCACTTCCGCGTCTCTAAAGGAAGCCATAGACCAGCTATGGACCCAGATCCCCGAGCCCACCCATTCGATTCGGCCGTTCTCCCTGCGCTCTTTTACGTAGCAGAGACGTGGCCTGACATGGCTACGTCGAAAGCTCTTCGAACAACCCACAGAACGCTGGATGTCTTCTGAAAAAGAACCAACGCACTTAACATCTCGTCGTACTTCACAACACACGAATGAAAAAATGTCTCGTCTTTGCGAGCCAGCAGGATACATCCCCAATGCCATCGATGTGCTGGCCATATAATGAGAAGGACAGACGACCGGTGAACTGCAATGGATTCCTCGCGAAGCAAGTCTTCGGGAGGCCACGAGTGTTCGTGATACGGATGGACCAGCTGCATTCTTAGCAGGTAACGTTTAACCTGAATCGAACATCTCCGCTGCAATTCAGAACGAACATAGTGAATGACACTAGCGAGAGACAAAAACGGATAGGAAAAAACATTGCTGGGGCCTGCACGAAGTGAAGACAGGCCATCGGAGCTTCTAAGTAAGTAAAATGTAGCTCACTGCCAGCGGCTCTCCTGAGTCTTGCTTACTTTTGAGAAATTAAAAGAAAACCATCAAATCTAAGATAGACAACTGTTTAAGACCTAATCTTCGCATATTCAGGGCATAAGTCATATTCCGATACTATCTGTTAAAGCTGCTCCGTTTAACTACTAATTATTCCTGACAAAACGCTTCAATGCGCCCGACATTCCTTAAGATCTTATAATCCAGAACCTTCTCGCAGGAAGCATTCAGCACGTGTATAAGTAAGACCACTCCACACTTCCCACTCCTTTCGAATAGCATTATCAAACATGATGGCATTCTAGTGCTTATTACATCATGATATCCTGACTATAGTGACGGCTATGCATAGTCTTTCAGTCGGAATGGTCTACGTATATGATAGCGGCAAGGCATGCACGCCATTATTTGCGCCTCTGATGCGGCGAAACACTTGTGGCGCATTTTGGCAAGCATAATGAAGAAAGGGTCCTCTTCTTAAGGCCAGCATAAGGATGATGGAAAGAAAGCAAATTGCCAATGCAAGCATTTATCAGAATTTGTCACCTTCTGCTTCTAACTCAGAAATAGTTGCTCCCGCGCCGTGGATCTAAAATGTATGACGAGAGTGATTTCGGGTGCGTCGTTAATGCCTAGCAAGCACATGCCCACCCCAATCGAAACAAACTAGATGTCTGAATGCACACTGTACTTCACGAGCAATCAAGAAGAAATTGTCAAGCTCTTTCATTTTCGCGTTCTCAGTAGGATTCGCGACGTCATAAGTTTGAAGACGGTGAATACAGGGAGGAGACGCGAAGGATAACGTATATTACGTTAAACATCGCTTAATCCAGTCTCGCACTGGAACACTGGCTTCGACTCGAGGGGAATCAGCTGTAGGACTCTATAGCTAACTATGTAACTAACTGTA